GGCACTACGGAGACCATCGACTCAGGAGCAAGAGGGGTGGGAGGGTGGGCGTCAATGCTTTCAGCCCGGACCCTTGCCAAAGACCCTGAGCTGAAGGTGAATGGATGGACACCAGAACACCCAAAATGAAAGGTGGAAGGCTCCACCAACCCCCAGTGGAAGGTGGAGGGGGCAGCAAAAATTCCTGCAGGCTGGATACTTGTTGGTCCGATCATTCTGTGAGGATGTGTAGAATGACCTAGAGCGCAGGCAGGATCCAAAGTGCAAAAATAAGAGTTTATTAAGAAAATCAAAATAACAGCTGACACTGCAGCAAAACTCACTGGAAAACGAAGGAGACACAGGACACCTCACTGGCTGAGGGAAGCAGCACAATGATCGGATAAACACTGAAGACAGAACACAGAATATAAAGGCAAACTAATTAGGGCAACAAGACACACCTGAAGCAGACACAAGAGGACACAGGTGAGAGAGGGTGGGGCTGCAGGGCAGAGAAACACAGGGGAACACTGAAAACACTAGAAAACTAAGGAAAATAAACACAGACCAAGAGAGGGGCCCCGCGGAGTGTCTAGCCCATTTAGAGCGGCGCGTTTTAAAGCGGTAGATGCGGTTTGAGCATTTGACACTGAGATTTGGATTGTGGCGCATCCAAAGCAGCCAACACTGGAGTTGAAAAATTGGAACTTTTGCTGCTCGAAGTGCTGGGTCAATCAATCAGAAAGACTCTGCTCTGTGGCGTAGCGGTACATTCTTCCATGTAACGGTTTCCTGAATGTTGCCCACTATCCTGAAACAGAGGGACAGGAGCTCTTTAACTGAAATCAACTGTCTGTATTTGGTGTTCTGGCAGGAGATATCAGCACCGATGCGGGTTAGTGGCTCGTCAAACTGACTATCAAACCGGGCTTGGTACAAAAATAGTTTTAAAAATGAGCCTCGTCAGCTCACAGCTCCTGTGGTGAAACTCACTGAACAGACTGCCTCTGACTTATCTGGTGAATTAATTATGAATTAATTATCTGGTGAGCGTGACATTCTCTTGCTCTCAGTAAATAAAGCAAAGCCACTTAGCAATATTGTATATGCTGTGAAGTGCCAGGAGGACTGCGACCAGTTATACATCGGGGAAACAAAGCAACCACTGTTCAAAAGAATGTCCCAACAC